TTATGGTGGATTATGGGTTGGATTTCGAGTGAAGTATGCAATCAAAATGGATTTTAATTGATTTTAGCTTCGTTCGGCTGTGAAAGTCATTGACTGCACATACTGGCACTAGACTTTGCCCAACCCTTGGAAAATTCTAAATTGCATAAATTTATTCTTCTATCTCCCTCTCTCTCTCTCTGTCTCTCTCACTCGCTCGCTCTTCGGGTGGAAAATGCCACGCCTACCACCTGTCTTTGCCGCCTGCAGGCCATTTGTAAAATTGATTACGCGCATAAATTGAAGCAGACGACGACGATGAAATGGGCGGGAAATTGGGAGAAAGGGTGGCGGTAAGGTGGGCAGGAAGTGGGTGGAGAGAGAGAGAGACAGGAGATGACAGCGGAAAAGCGGAGATTGGGTTTTACTAGCTTTTCCACAAACACATACATATATGCATACACCCACAACTAGCTAAGCTAGTTTTAAAGTGAATGTTTTGAAGCCATTCCTGACAGCATGTGAATATTCGTTATTTTGTTTATATAATCAAATTCAATTAGGCCTAATTGTTTTCGCCTGTATGAGTGTGCATTTTTCCTCTATTCTCTTCCTGTTTGTGGCCCATTTTTGCCCAGCTCCCTGGGGTGAATAAACCCCAAAGTTATTAGTCAATTAACAAAAGCGAATATGTTGCAATTAATGTTGCGTAGTCACAGAGAAACTGCGCGAAAAAGAGACAGCTAGATAGATGGCGGTGTGAAAGAGAAAAGAGGGCTGGGGTTGGGCGTTAGAATTCCCAACTGGTATCGGCATACATGGCCATAATTATAACAGTGCGAAATGGCTGAAACATGCGAATTAGTTGACGTCGGCGGCGTCGGGGGAAAACCTGGTCTGAACATGACGCATATGCAATGTATGTATGCATATGCTACAGGCGAAACAACAAGTGATACATGCAAAACTGAATTAAAGTGTTCTAAATTATTTTGTAAAGAATTTTTTTCTGTGAAATTGACATTTTACGAAGAATAGGACCATTATTTAAGTGATAATCTGTGGTAAAAGTGAATAGCTAATATATTTAATTAATGGGAGATTTAGTTGACAAAGGTTGCCCGACATTTGCATCACCTGCACACTGTGCACACCCCCATGAGTTTTCACTTTATCCAAGGTATCCTCTGCCGGTGGCTGACCAAAATAATGGACACTGGGAAATGCTTACATCAGCAGAAGGACAACAACTGGATGGATCAGCACATCACAGGACAAACAAATAGTGGCAGGGCGACAGGGACGGGCAGCTGGCGGTGCTGGGGAGTGACAGAGACAATCAAAGCGCCGTCAGGACAACAGCACAAATTAGTAATTTACACGCAGGCCAAATGCGAAATGCCACCCCGTCGACTGCCACATGTGGCATATATAATGGGCCCATAATTATGGCAAAACTGCAATTAGTAATTGAGGACGACGAACAGCGATATGCGAGCGGGCGAATTGCGATGCACTTTCAAGTCGACTTTAAACGTGAATATATATATGACTAGAAATAACGTTAATTTGTGAATTTGTTTAAGTGTTTTTTTATTATATATTTCAATACCCAACGAATTTAAGATATTGCTTTTAAAAAGGTGCCACTTTGGCCTGCCTTCAAACAAAATGGCTTTTAAAAACGTTTGAATCGAGTGAAAATAATCGAGAGGAAAGGGATCCAGAATGCCGAGGGTTCAATGAACGGCTGGATCTGGCTGGTAGATGGGAAAAGGGCAGTCAGACGAGGAACACGACGACGGAAGTTAAAGGCCCAAAGGCAACAAATGCTCACTTGGATGGATCAGCTTTTAAGGAGCTGGCTGAGAAGGGGGTGTGGCTGAGGCAAGAATGTTTGATGATGAGTGCACAAGGTGATGAGTTATTCAAAAAGCATGTGCAAAGTGTCAGAAGAAATCAAAAATGAAATTATGCAAGCAGATGAGGGCGACGGCTGCTGATGCTGGCCTCTCAAAATCCGAAAAAAAAGGAAGGGTCCAAAACATCGTTTTGTGTAATACAAAAAGTATGTATAGAATACGGGGAATGCAAAAAAAACAACAAAAAATGGAGAAGGAATGAAATAATAATGTAAAGTTGAGGCAGATGTGACCCGCAGGCGAGGTCCGAACCCGAAAAGTCATTGAAAAGTTATTTTTCGGCTTAAGCTGCTAAGGCATCCGGCAGAATGTGCATGGAGCTGGATAATCGAATGGGAAATACCCTACACCTTAAAGCAAATAGGCATTTCATTTAATAAGATATGGAAATACCCATACCAAAGTTGCAAATCCACAATAAACAGCATACCCCGAAGAAAACGTGAGTTTTCCAACTGGCCCGGAGTCAATCATAAGGTTATTTGAATTCCATTGCGGCGTGGAATAAAAACAAGGAACGAAAAGATGGCAAAAATAAAATAGAATGTGACATAACTTTCGGAACATCGAAATGGCAATTTGAAGTTTTCCACCCTTGGGGGCTTTCGACTACTCCCCAACTTTTTAGTCCAGTGCTTAACCCCTATTGTCCACAATCCATAAACCCTTTTTTTGATTCGATTCCGAGCACTTGAACACGAAACGGCCAACACACACACACCTGAAAACAAAGCGAGACAATTGAAGATGGGTTCTATTCTACCCAGTTTGCTGGTTCCGATCAATCAGATGGGGGAAACTATAACAAATTTTCAAGTTGAGTGGAGCCACGGAGCCATGGAGACCAGCACAAATTGAAGGACAGACCACGGGGTCAGAGATGATAAATTATTGATCTCTTTGTTGTCTCGGGTAATTATCATTTAGTTCTGGCACTTTTTGTTTCGCTTCGAATATACACGAGTATATATGGCCATTGCTTGAGACTCATTTCCTTCAACTGGTTCTCCCTTTTTCTTCTCTTTATTTTCTTAGAGGGACACGCACATGATAAATGATTTCCCATTAACTGACATTGAAAAGGGGGGAAAAGAAATGAAACAACGTCAGAAATTGCAGCAATGAAAATGGGAAAACAAGGGTTGGGGGGAGGGTAAAATGTTGTGGGTGGGGCCAATCAAATGCGAAGGTCAGAGGGGGATGGACACACACATACCGCGCTTCTTCGCACTAAAGAAGTGCCTGCATTTTGTCATCCATCATCATCATTATCGTGCGCTCTCTTTCCGCCAAACTCTTGCCGTCTCTGTCTGCCGCCTTTTATCATTCCGCATCATTCGGCTCATTTGTCCATGTATGTGGTCTTATCGGGTTCACTCTCTGTGGTTCCACTGTGCTCGCTGTAAACAATTTTTGATTTCAACCCAATTCAACGCAAACAAAGTGAATACTTGATTTTGAGATCCCTGCGCGCCGGCGACTTTGATAGATGACCATAAAATGTTAATGGCTGCGACTCTTTCCCACTGGGAAAGATAGTTTTTGGGGCCAAGTAGTTTTTGGATGAGAGATGAAGTTTTGAGATTTTCGAGAAATTAGTTTAATAGGGGCATGCTCAGGCTTTCTTGGTTGTGAGTTCATAAGGTTCATGCAAGCAAAACCATTTAATATCATTTCATTTGTCTGCATTTTCTCATTTGCTGTTTTGTATTTTTGCATAATCGTTTCGTTTCTCATTATCATTAACACTGCTGACATTGTGCCTAGACGATTTTATTCGTTTTCGCAACTCAGACATGCAAATCGCTTTTCTGCCTCCAAGCAAAGCGCCCTAATGTATGCTACGCTCAAATTGGATGCTGACTCATCCAGTAAGAAGCGAAAACACAGACAAACACACACAGACAGTGGCACACAAACCAATTCAATCTACAGCAATTTGCCATAATTTTGAACGCTTAAATGTCGTCGGCCAAACGAACTAACAGGGCTAAAAGATTTACGGCCCCAACTTATCACGCAGCACAACCAAAAAGAACTTTCAGTAACCGGAGAAGTGAAAGATGCTGCGCAAAAACCATAACAAAAATATTTTCCACCACGTACGGGCAAGGCTGAAAGTTGGGGGAAAAGCAGACAATTTCGCAAAATATTAGCACACACGAAAAATATATATTTCCCCAACTATTGAACTTAGTAGTCATAGTATGGTAAAAGGGATTAAGCAGTGTGAGTTTAGCCTGAGAACAAAACCTGTCTGGGAGCGTTTTCTGGCTGTGTATGAGGCTCCAGCAAGGAGTCGTGCTAGACAGAGGACAAGGACTTGGCCCAGACAGAGCAGGACGTATGGCAGGACAGCCAACACCCAACTGCCAACAGGCAAGAGCCAACAGCCTGGGCAATGGCATCATAAAAGTTCTCCAAAAGCCGGCCCGTCGCCGCTGTGTCGTCGGTTAGTATTTGAAAACACATCCAACACCCCCTAACTGGATTCATTCTCCTTAATTTCTGCAGCACACCAAGCGAAACCCAATCCACGTGTCTGTTGTTTGACCTTTTTTTCGCAAGCGTTCGTATTGCTAATTTTGTGGCCATGGCTGTGTGCGTGCTTATCAATTGCGAGACAATATGCATTTGCCTACTTCTAGGCGCCATTTTGTAGGCTCGCATAGAAGAGCCATTTTTGTGGGTGGATGGGAGGCGTCGGCTGGACTGAAAAACAAAAGAAGCAAAAGAATAACGCTGGCATTGTCAAGGCAAAAAGTTGAACGAACTTTTTAAACTCCATCGAATGTTTGTTTGCTTTCGCCGGGTCTGTCTGATTTTCACTGTGCTTTGTCTGGCCCCAAAGGATAAAATGACATTCACATTAAGGGAGGGGGAGGTGTCAAGGAATTCTCCATTGAGGTCTGCTTATAATGCGACACTTGAAGTTGAAGTTGAGCGGTGCACAAGAAGCGGGAGATTAACTTTGTCGGCGTTGAAAACACGAGAATTTTCATAACAGCAAGCTGAAATATAGCGGACAGATTGAATGAGAGACTTGTATTATTTTACTGTATTATATTCATCATACTAAATATATTTTCCGTTTTCCAGGGCCGTCACAGATCCGCGGGATGGACGACGCGTGGCCTTGAAGAAGCTGCCAAATGTGTTCCAATCGCTGGTCTCATCGAAGCGCGTTTTCCGCGAGCTGAAAATGCTGTGCTTCTTCAAGCATGAGAATGTAAGTGGAAATGCATTTCCTTTTTATCCTTATCGAGAACTTTTACGCCTTCGCTGATGACATAAAAATTTAATTAAAACATTTACATGCCACTTTGATTATGGCCATTGTAGTGGGTCTTTAACTGCGCTCGATATTTTATCCCTTAAATCTTTGTGCGTGCCAGTTCGGCCGCCTTTGGTGCGTAAATTTATTAACAATTATATTTTCCACTTTAGTCCCGGACTCTTTTTCATTATATATACGTACATACAACTGCCAGGGGTGGATTTTTTTTTTCGTTTTTGATTGTAAGCTTGTGAAAATTATATCCCTTTTGCGGAAACTTTTAACATTTCCATTTTTACGGCCTCCATTTAATGTCCGTTGTTCTCTGCTCAAGTGGAATTATTGTGCGCTGAAATTATTGTCATTAATTAAATGTTTGATGTGGGCATGTAAATTCATTGAATTCAAACACTTCACTTCTTAAATGGTTGAGCTTCGTTTCAGCTTGGATTGCTAGTGATTCTGTGACTACAATGAATCACAGGGCTGGAAAAATGGGCATTATGTATTGAAATATAGCAAAAAAAAGGCGATGCCAACTTAATAGGAGATCAAATAAAGTGCAACTGCTTAAAGAAAACAATTTGTTCTGCATAAAACTGTTTGAAAAGATTTATGATCGATACGTCAGCACTGAATAAATGCAGCAAATTTGTTCGCAAACCGAAAAAAATTCTGTGAATGGTACAACATTTTGTGGCAGTTTGAAGCAGCCAGAGGCGATGGCAATAAATGCATAAATGCATGTTGCAATTTGGGCAGCCAACTATCAGCATATACCACAAAAAAAGCGGCCAACTGTTGAGGGCCAAATGTTGTATGCGATTCTATGGGACATTTTCTATAAATATATTCTCTCTGGATTGTCGGCGCATATAATTTATTTACATATTCATTGCAATTGCGCTGCACGTGCCGCTGGCTTTTGAAAGATTTTCATGGATTTTGTCTCATGTTTCTTGTTTCATCAAGAACCTTTTGTTGTGCTCCATATTTGGTGTATCTGGCATTTGCATTTAAAGTTAAAAGTCAACGAAACTTGCATGCTGCCATTACAATATAATGAAACTGTCGCATGCGATTTGCTGCACTCCTAAATGTCACGGTCTCTCCCCTCTAATAGTTACGATATATTTGCTAAATCATTTCCAGATTGGTTCAACTTCATTAGACATCAAATAGGCCGTGGGCTGTCTGGGCTGGGAATCTAATGCCGAAAGAGATGGACAGCATATATTATATGTTGCATCTGCCATCTCTGTTTATCGCTCATCATCATCATCATTTCCATCAGCCTACATGATTTCCTTTTGTGATTTTCCACTTTTTGTTACTCGCGCTTCGCTGCGTGTGAATTTCCTTATGCAATAATGAAGAGGTATAGGAAAAGTGGGCGTTTTGGAGCAGACAGCTACATAGACTCCCAATCTCGATTCCATATGTTGGCAACCAGAGAACAAAAGCAGCGTTTGCTGTAACACCTTGCCCAATATGCAAATTTTCTATTAATATGCATAAATGGCTATAGGTGGGTGTATGAATCGCGGTTGGGGGAATAAAAGAAGCGCAGTTGAGGCGCGACTTTGTTGTCAACGCTTGAGGTATATGACACTGTTGCACTGAGAGAAATAATATTATTGCTTGGTTAATTACCCAGAGGTGCTCCAATATTATAGCCACTATCAAAGCATCGCAGGGATATGATTTCGTAATTGATAATATTTTAATAAAACAGCAAATAGCAAACATTGATGTACAAACAAAACACATACAGTAAAGCCAGAGTAAAGAAGAGATTTTTTTTTTTTTTAGAAAATACAGTTTGTGTACTTTTTTTCGAATGCTTTTATATCTGTCTGTGTTTCCTGTTTCATTTCCTACATGACAGACATCATTCAGGGAATGGCAAACAAGTGCAATCAACTCCAAACGGTTGGCAGAAAGAGAGGGTTCGAGAAACCAGAAAGAGTCAAACGCATTGGAGCCCCAGACAAGTTGTTGACAACGTGAGCGGGGTGGGGGTTGGGGGGATCGGAAAAACACTGGGCTTGGCACGTGGCTACCTTGCATTTTATTGCAAATTGGGTGCTCCACTCCATACAGTTTTCATATGGCCTGAGCGGCTCAACTATTTATAACTCAATCAATGAAAGACCTCCGTTCGAATGTTGTGAGTTCGATGTTGAGGTATTCATTTCCAAATTGATTTTTCGGCATATTATTTTGGGGTCAGCATTGATTGAATGATAGAGAAGGAGCTAACCAATTTACGTTGACGTATTTAAATGAAAAATTTACCTTAAGTTGTACTAAAGCTTACCTACTTAATTACTTCTACAAAAATGAAATTTTCTTTAGTTGCTAGCAACTCCCTGACCCTTTAAAGCCATCAAAATCTTGAATCTTTTTGCGATTTCAATGGCTTTTCACATCCACAAATGACTGCTCTCATGCTTTATGCATTGCATTTTTGTAAATCGCAGCAAAATGTTTTCGCCCCATTATCGGTTGCCCATTTCAATTGCAAACCCAAAAAAAAATATATAAATAAAATTCCAATAAAACGATTTGCCGTTGGCTGAATTCGTTTTGTTGTATTTTTTTCTTATTGCAACGTACGTGGCGCACATTTCAAAAGCATTTCTCACTTGCAACTCGGGCAGGAGTTTTTTCCCCGATTTTTTTCAGCATTTCTACGCAGCCTCCAAGCCGACTGTCAACTTCCCCCGACTTCCCCTTACCAAAATCCCTCTCTATGCGGCATTCTCACTCCATTTCCTGGCCAAAATGATTGAGTTTGACGCGCTGGCAGCATCAATTGCATGTAAATTTTGTTATTATTCGCATTGCTTGGCTCTTTGCAATTGAAATGCCACTTGCGGTAGACATTTCGCTGGAGGGCAATAAATATGTTGGTTTATACTCATCGAGTATACGAAAATATATACCATATTCCCCGCTAATTCCTAATTACAAAGATACTTATCTGACAGGAAATGTAGCAGCAAAAAAAGCGAGTTTCTTAAAAAGTTTCTTGTAAACTTTAACTGCCACAAGGTTTTTCTTCTCTTTTAATATAAATATATATAGCATATATCTGTGGCCCTTCGAGTGGTAAAAAGTCAATTTCGGTGGAGTTGGTCCCCCTCTCATTTAATTAGCCCACAAATATGTGTTGACAGCTGCTGCCTGACAATCTTTTAGCTAGAAATTTGTCCCTCAGCTTGGAATGAAAATACTTGTGAAGTCGATGCGGCGACACTTTTGCTTTTGTTTTCCCAGCCACATGGGGCTTGGGGGAAAATTCGCTGGAAGCTGAAAGCTGAAAGCTTCGAGTTCTGCAGCCCAAGAGGAAGTTGTTTCCAAGACCTGGCGCTCAGTGGGTTAAAGGGGTGAGGTGGTGTTGGTGTTTAGTAGTGTGGGTTTTGAGGTGGGTTGCCACAGCTGCTGGTTGCAAGTAGAACACAAGTTTCACTTGTATCTCTCCATCTTTAACTAACTAGAATTTCGCAGATATACACGGCAATAATTGTGAGCTTATTTTGTCATTTTCAAGACTATAATTATTTTGATAAACTTTAAATGGATTTAATGTATTTAATAAGTATGGAATCATATGCTGGCCGCTCAGCCACATTGCTGCAGTTCACAACTATTTCTCGCTGTGCAGCAATGTTAAACGCAACCCAGTTAGCTGTTGTTTGTGTTTTTTACTACTAAGTTGGTTAGCTTGCTAATTTCCCCTTCTGGTTTTCCGCCAACCACCAACCGCCCCTCGCATTTTCATGCACCACTTCAAGGACACTCGATGCTGCCTTCGGCGGTGCACAATGCATAAATTTGGTTTCTGATTGCAAGCCCAAGCCAAAATGTTAATTAGCTGCAAGCCGCACGCTGCACGTGAGACCCCAAAATGAAAAAATATTTAAAAAACGAGAAAAACAAAAAATGCAGCCCGAGTCGAGTAATAACAATAACAACCCAAATTACGCGCCTGCGCTCTGAAGTTCAGTGAAGTGCAGTAGTTGAAGTTGACCGAGGAAGAAACTACATAAAAACCACTCGGAAACACTTGAAATTCGGCATGTTTTTTACTCATTTTTTACTCTGATCAAGATCCAAGATATTTATGGAATGCAGAAGAGATTTTGGTCACGATGATACGGGAATATATCTATAGTTCATTTAGAATGCAGACTTGTGGGGATGTCATAATATATCTTATAATGATGTGATACGACATCTTATTATTCAATAAGGTTTGTAATAAGCTAAAAATCAGATGTGTTCAGCTTCTAATCCGAAATTTATAATTATTTGGAATAGTTAGTGTGTGCTTAAGACTAGTTTCCTTCAACTGCTCGCTTTTAAGAGACAATTGATTTAAGAAAGAGCACTTTTTCTAATCTATCCCATATATAGCACTCCGTATAGAGTGAGTGTATCTATTGGGTCGATTTCCTTCACCTCTCGCATTTAATGTTGCAAACCGCAAACGCAACAAATGCAGTCGCTAAATTACAGCAGTCGCGAAATATTACAGAATTTGCAGGCAGTTCAAGTGGCCGGGGAAATAAAAATAAGACAAAAGCTGCCAAGGAGCAGACCCTAAATAAAACGAGGGGGAATTTCGCGTTGCTCCTGTGGAGTGCAAAAAATAAAAATAAAAAACAACTTTGCCACTTAAGACGGCGACGGAGATTCAGACTTCAAGACGGCAGCGCGGCTTAGCTGGCCAGCTAACAAAAAAAAAAAAAAAACAATATATATAAAAAATACAACAAAATAAAAACCAGTAACCAAAGTTGTCGGCACTTTTTGTTGTTGCGCTCAAAATTGTTGAACTGCTTTGGCTTTGCCAACTGCCGACGAAAAAATGTCTTGTGGAAAGCAGGGGGTTAAATGTGCAACATTGTGGCGGGCAGCTTTTTTGCTGTACGCATTTTGCGGCCCAGCAACTGGAGTTGTATAAATATTGTAAATTGATTTTAAATGGGCGGTGGAGTGGGTTTCGCCTCCTGTTAGATTTTTCGATGCGATTGCCTGCCTGCCCTGCACTGCAAGTTCCTTCATCATCTCTTCACCGCAAGCGAAAATAAATCAGCGCTTGTCTGTCTGTGGCTTGTCTTTTTGCACATAGATATATATTTTATTTTTCTTTTTTTTGTTCTCCTGTCCATCAGTCGACCGTCGACTTGGCCTCCTCCCCCATATGAAAACGACCCTCAGACAAACTGTGGCGTGTTTTGTATCTCCTTCGTCAGCGGTAGTTGTGTATAAAATCATCAAGGGTTCAACAATTTCCTTGGTGATTTTGTGCTGGCTCGCTTTTTTACTCTTTTACTTGCGGCATTTAATGCCCCGGCAGCCGGGACACTTAACATGCAACTTGATTTTTATTGCAACTCCATAATTTATGACCAACCCCACGTAATCCCCACGAAATGAGGTGTAAATTGTTGACTGGATTGCCTAGGGATTTGAATTTTGACCGCCAGTTCAATGACTTTGTTATATTCTCAGACATATTTATTTACTGAATGCGAGCGTGTTTACTTAATGTTTTATTGTTTTATTATTTTGCAGGTTCTTTCAGCTCTGGACATTCTACAGCCACCGCATTTGGATTTCTTTCAAGAAATGTATCCTTTTTACAATTTTAAAAACGTGAAAACCTCCACGAAAAGTTATTCTTTTCAACTCTGAAGTGTGAAAATCGCACTATTGTGAAATGTTGTGGTTTTCAAGGAGCCATAATAATTTAATTATTTATTTCTTCTGGCTTAACATCTTCCCCAGTTTAGCATTTAAAAATTGAGCTTTCTTTTTAATAATTTAATGCGTCAATTAATAACTGTGCAAACATTTAAGGCTTATCAACAAATCAAATTGGGTATACAATGTTGATGTCTAATCTTAAAGAAGTCTTCTTATTGTCACCATTTAGTTTTTACCCTTTTATGAACTCAGAACTTTTGGTCAACGATGAACTTTCAAAAAAATATTCAAACTATAAACCAACAGCAAATATTTTATTAATCTTTCGCCCATAGAAACTATAAAAATTCGATTTTGCAAAATAAGTTGCTGCTTTTCGGGCGTCGCAGCCGAAACTTTTGGGCTAAAAGCAAATGTAACTAATTGAAAAAGTTTTAAGCAAAAACAAACAAGGCAAAACAAAAAAAAAATGCTATAGTCGAGTTCACCGACTATCAGATACCAGATACTCGTTACTCAGCTAGTAAAAGTAAAAACGAGTAATTTCAACATTTTCTGGAATATCGGTAGAAATTGTCTAAAAAAATTCAACAACAATTTTCAAACGGATTGTGAGCGGTAGAGTGGGCGTCGTAAAACGATTTTCGGCAAATCGATGGAAATTTAGAAAACTAACAAAAAAGTGAAAAAATATCAAAACATTTTTCAAAAATACCACTTCTAAATCCGATTAAGATTAGTTGAGTTATGGACTTTAGAAATTCAGCCTTGGGACATCTTTGAATTTCTTTAACATCATAACAGAAAAATTACAAAAAAAATTACAAAAAAAAAAAATTCAAAATATAAATGCAGATTTTTAGAGAATTACTCCAGAAACATTTAGAGGTATTTAGAGTGCAAATCTATAGAAATTTACAAGATATATAAAAAAATGAATGTATAGTATACCCTTATACTCTACGAGTAACGGGTAAAAAAAAGAAAAATATGTGTTGAAGGGAGTTTCAAAACTTTTGTTTGCTCCTTTCGCTTGTCGCCATAAAATTGGTTTCCACCTTAACTCCCCTTCTGAATCGACCAATAGCTATGTGATAACGGAGCTGCTGCAATCGGATCTGCACAAGATAATCGTGTCGCCGCAGCACCTGTCCGCCGACCACATCAAGGTGTTCCTCTACCAGATCCTGCGCGGCCTCAAGTATCTGCACTCGGCACGCATCCTGCATCGCGACATCAAGCCGGGCAATCTGCTGGTCAACTCGAATTGTGTGCTCAAGATCTGTGACTTCGGATTGGCCCGCGTCGAGGAGCCGGATCAGGCCAAGCACATGACCCAGGAGGTGGTCACCCAGTACTATCGCGCACCGGAGATTCTGATGGGCGCACGCCACTACTCGTCGGCGGTGGATGTGTGGTCGGTGGGCTGCATCTTCGGCGAGCTCTTGGGCCGTCGCATCCTCTTCCAGGCACAGAACCCCGTGCAGCAGCTGGAGCTGATCACCGAGCTGCTGGGCACGCCCACCATGGAGGACATGCGGCACGCCTGCGAGGGCGCCCGCACTCACATGTTGCGCCGGGCGCCCAAGCCGCCCTCATTCTCGGTGCTCTACACACTCAGCTCACATGCCACGCACGAGGCGGTGCACCTGCTCTGCCAGATGCTCGTCTTCGATCCGGTATATATGGCATTCATTGTATAATCCATGGCAGAACAGCTGAACTAATTTTCCCCCATTTCTGCGCAGGACAAGCGCATCTCCGTGACAGATGCCCTGGCGCATCCGTATCTGGATGAGGGACGTCTGCGTTACCACTCGTGCATGTGCAAGTGCTGCTTCACTACCTCAGCCGGAATGCGTCAGTACACGGCTGATTTTGAGCCCTCCGCCGGCCAGCCCTTCGATGATCTGTGGGAGCGCAAGCTGACATCCGTGCAGCAGGTCAAAGGTGAGTCGGAATCATATTTATACCATGCATATGTCTACAACAATCATGTGTCTTAAAAACTTGCAGAGGAGATGCACAAGTTCATTGCCGAGCAGCTGCAAACGGGTCGTGTGCCGCTGTGCATCAATCCACAGAGTGCTGCCTTCAAGAGTTTCGCCAGGTGAGTGAGCAGTTCCTAGCCACAGTCACCACAATGAGTTTTCCCTCCTCCACCGACTACCCTTTAAACTTTTCCCACCTCTGCACGCAGTCGTCCTGTCCTTCCCCCAAAAAACAAACATTTTACGAATTTAACACCTTTAGTCAAAATTGTAAACCCTTTTTCTTCACTCACTCTTTTGTTTACTTTTGATTTTGATATTTATTTATTGTTTAAATTAATTGACCATGGCTTCCGTGTAATGCTCTCTATCTCTCTCTGTCTCTCTCTCCCTCTGTCTCTCTCTTAACCTATTCCGCTAATTGTCGTACCTGTCCCCACACCCAAAACTATCTCTATATAACTTCTACCTTGCCAACCGAACTACCGAACTACGATTATAATTTGTAACCTTATTTTTAAATGATCTTTTTCGTTTGTTCTTTTATTTTTGTTGTTCAACATGGATATTAATCTTGAAATTTCTATTAAATCGAATCGTTATATTTGCGTTGTTAAGCCAATGAGAATGAGAAAATCTACTACTACTACCACTACCACTACTACCACTACAACTTGCACTGCTGCTCCTGCCGCTGCTCCAATCCGCCGCCGCCTACTGTTGCGCTGTCCTCACGAACCGATCCAGATCCACATCCAGATCGAGATACTAGGCGCGCGATCTCCTCTCACTAGAACGAATCGATATAGACACGCAGAAGTCACAAGATACTATCCGCAATCTCTGCCGAGTGATTGACGAATGAAAATGCTAATGATAATGAAAACGAAATCGAAATCGAAAATGAAACTGAAAACGTAACCGAATACGAATACGAAAGCACAGCCAAGATAAAGATACAATAATACAGATACAGAAAATGAGGCCTCGGGGCGGCAACTGTCTCTCTACTCCTTCTTAGGTCTGTTGATAAAGCGAAAAACTTACTAAATATTTATTATTTAGTTTATCACCTTTTTTGTTCATATTCCTTTTTAATCTACTTTCCTACCTATTGCAAATGTGTATAGAAAACCAAATGAAATAAGGAAACAAAACAGAACAACAACTTATTTAGTTTTAACCATTTCCTTATAATTAACTTTTAATTTTTAGTTATAATTCTACGTTCATTTCTTTTAAATGGGTATTATTGCGTGACATTTTTTGTGTACATACTACATGTTTTTAAAATGCCAACAAGAATTCGGCAGTATAACCAAGAACATTATAAAATTGTTTACAAATGTCGCAAAGAAAATTGAGAACAAAATTGGCAAGGCAATTACATATCTGTTAAGAATGGAAAATGAAAAACATGCAGAGACATTTTCAACTATTTTATAAAGCTATTAAAAAGATTTATATCGAATAAATATGAACATAATGCATATAACCAGCTCCATAATCAATTTTGTGTTTATGTTTTGTGTTCGCATTCAACTCATATATCTATATACTATATATATATATCCGTAATCGTGTACAGCAGATTTCATCCAGTAAACCAAAGCCCATACGCACCTACAGACCATAATTCCCTCCATTTTTCAAATACGCCATCATTCCCATATAAAATGTTATGCACACCTATCATTAAACGTTACAAAGGACCTATTGAAAATGCTTTGAATATATGTATATCCGTTCCAGAGAAAAGCTGTTTATATCAATATATTTTATATCAAATTCAAGTGTCATGATATTAAACAAAATTTGTTTTCAACTTGTAAATAGCTCACGCACCAGTCAGCCCATCATTTAGCTCAGTCATTGTCCTGCCTAATCCTAAAACAACTCGATATCCATGCAGGTTTAGAACATAAGCCTTCAAAACAGCAACCATTTGCTTGGATAAGTTTAGATAAATTTGAAAACTGCACAGAAAATCATGCAAAATATATATTTGTACAATTTGCAGTGCAGCTGAGCAGCAGTGACAAAGAAAGAACTGAAGTAGATTTGAACGCTTGAACAACTACCATTCAATGACTTGAAATAATTATGATTAACAAACCAAACCAAACCAAACAAAAACTTTAACTTTGTATTTTAAAATTTCCCCCCAAACCCGAAACTCTTTTGTAGTTCTACCTTGTACATTTTCATTTCACGTTTCGTTTTAAGATTGTTTTCGATGGGAGCTATTTCCGTATTTAGTTAGTAATTTGTCTTAAATTAAAGCTTTAAATGTTTTCTGTAAACTTTTCGTTGTACATGGCATGAGCAAACTAATCTATATGTTTAACTTAAAAACGAAACCTATTAAAATGCAATATTACAATTGGTTTACTTTATCATTTTTCCCCCACCTGCAATTTAGTTCGACTGTGGCACATCCTTCGGAGCTTCCGCCCTCGCCTCATCAATGGGAATGACGGCAAAATGAGGCGATTGCTGCCTAAATTCGAAACAAAAGCAACACAGCCAAACGATAGACCCTTGCCGCCGAGAAGAAGGAGGATAGGAGTCGATTCCCAGTCCAAAAACCCTCGAAAACCAACCCCATCCAACTCAACCCAATCCAGAGATAACTCAGCCAGGAACAACTATTGAATAATTTTTAAGCGCCAAACGGCTTTTGAGTGGGCGTTTGTCTGTTTGAAAGTTAAAGCATTCCACCACCGAAATTAACTAAAACAAAACAAACAAATATTTAATAATACTATAGACAAACAAATATGTAACGTAACTCAACGGAAACTAGTCTAAACAACAAAACTGTAGTTAAAACAGCAGCATCATCGACGCAAAACAAGCGAGTTTAAAGAAAACGAAAATGTTAAAAAACAAAAAAAGCAAAAAATTAACGAGAAAGTGAGGGAGCAGCAGCAGTAGAATCTACGCACTAAAAACAAAGCGTATTAACAAATAACTATAATTTTTTGGCAACAAAGCAGACATTTTGTTGTGCTTGACATGAATTGGAAACGAAAATTCAATTAAAATGAAAAAAAACAAAAGAATCGTTTTATCGTTTTATGTTAAGCTCCTATTAAAACTATGTATATGTAAATTAATTAGCAACACACACAGACATCGTATTCATTATATACAAGTATGCTTAACTCTTAAATATATCGATATATATATTTAAAGTAAAATAGTTACAAAATGCACACAAATCCAACATTTGTTTGCCAAAATTTACCTCAAGCGATAGTCCTTTTCGTCCGCAAAAAAGGACCGATTCATTTTCTGTTAGCTTACGACAAAAACATGTAATAATGCAATGTGTAGCTACAGTTAAATGTGTACTAAGCGCTAAAAGAAAAACAAGTTCTTTTGAAATTATGCAACTATTTTTATTTACACAAACGTTTGAAGCTTCAAATTTGAAACTGGTTTCTAGAAATATACTCTAAATGTAACTGGCCAAAGAAAAATGGTCAGCCCCCTAACTCATTAGGAAAAAGGAAAAATATTCGATGAAATTAGTTCAAAGTTTCAACTGTCGACTGAACAAAAATACAATATAAATTAATATATATATATATAAATTAAACAATTTCAACTTAATTTAGTTACGACAATTTTCGCTTTGATAATAGTTTGTTAAGCTTCTTAACCATTAGTTTCATAAATGTAAACTACAAAATAAACAAACCAACAAATGAAAAACCAACAAGTGGACGACGCACTGCCCCCAGTGAATGGTTCGAGCGGATTGATCCCAACTGGACGGAAAGTAGATCCCAAAGATCCCATTGGAGGTATCTACTTGGAGTCTCACGGCGCCGCCCGAACCAATTCGATTTTAGTTATGTTTAATTTGCTCTTAGTTGATTACAATGTAATATAGTTTAATTTTCGACTAACTACACCTCTGTCTCTCTCAATGCTCATCGCTATAGACTATAGACTATAGCTAAGGTGCAGGACAGGATTGGTTATAGAGGATCAATTGCTAAGGCCTCGGCTGCCCAGAACATTAAATATGTTTAAGACTGAGTTTTCTCATTTGACGATGACGATTGATTGATTGAGGATATGCAATATATAATTCGCACTTCATTTAGTTGAAAGAACAAAATTTTGATGTAGATTAAGCACTTAAACGAAATTAAAAAGCGTATACCGTGTATGTGTATTTGAATGTCTTTTGTCTTCAATGTTTAGAGCAAAACAAATGCATGAATATTTAATCGAAAAACGACGATGGAGTAGAAAGAAACTCTTCAAGAAAATTTAAACTGAAGCTAAACTTAAACTTTTCTCTTCGATTCTCTTAACTGTGCTGCTTTCTTATGTATGTAGTTATTAATTAAGCATTATATATATTATCCAATATATATACATGTATGGATTAGCGTAAAAACAAACAAAAAAACAAAACAAAAACCAATATGAATTCAAAACTTTCACGGAGATCTCATAGCAAAAACAAAACGAAATGAAAGAAAAGAAAAGCATAATGGCACCAAAATGCAAAGGCATCGTGCAGCGAAGTAGAATTTCTTTTCAACTTTTGTTTATAACTAAAGTTTTTCTTAACCGTAAACATTAGAGTACAGTTTGTTTTCCCCTCATTTGACCAGAGACAACCGCTCGAATTAAATTGACATCAGCATCGACATCGACATCCACATCAACATCATTTACATCTCTAAGCACATACTCGTACTCCCCGTAGTGGAACATATACAAATGCGACTACGCATACGGATTAGTTAGTTTTCTTTTCGGTTAGGCATCGTGTACATAGCATTATCTCCACGCCCCCACCAATAATTAGACCACACCTCTCTCTAGCACAGTAAGATGGTTAGTAAGATGGTACGATACGATACGAGTACGATAAGTAAATGGACATGTACATTATACTACACGAATAGCACAACCCCGCGATTGGAGCAGGTCTGAACTAAAACATAATGTAATTCACACAAGATATGGGCCCATTATTGGGTGTATGATTTGGGGCGACTCTGTCGCCTGTTTGAAATGAGTTCATAAGTTAAGATCAACTGTAACTGTAAACTGCATTAGTATTTGACTTGTAAACCGATTTTAAGGATCATTCTTAACTATATATATTAGATACGAATTACGCATTAATTTACGTTAAATGAGAATAATACGAAAAAACTGTGTAAACTGTTTGTATAAAAAATAAGAACAAAACAAAAAAAGAAGAAAACGAATCCATTTGTTTTATTTGTCGCATTACCTAAAGTGGATCCAACCCAACCCAATGCATTTGCTAATTAGAATTTATAGCCATGTAACACTGCAAGCCAGACAACTAGCACCCACTATATACGATATGTGTATGTATATTTATGGACAATATTTGAGATTAAAACCCACACACCCCAACACACCAACAATTCTTCAAGTTTGTATTAGAATACAGGTAAAAAGACAGCATTCCATTGAAACGGATACCTAAGGATGCCACGTACATTATAAACTTGGAATATGAACCAAATATATGATGATCAAATGATGAGACTTTGCGGGAAGTCTTTTGAAACTAGAATTGGTCAAGATTGGTAGATTAAAACATAAAAATGAATGCGCTCAGGTTATTAAATGTAAAAATTACAAAATACTCCTATATATATATATGAAATAATCCCAAATTCGCATAACAAATAAATAACCACATATATGTACGTTTAACAAGTTTAACAAAAGGCTGTTTGTAGAAATTGTGACACAGTTTTTTTAACCCGAACCCACTAACCCACAACTAACCGACGATTAACCAACTCGATGTGTAAATGCAAAACGGATAATTAAGCATCTTCGACTCCACAGTGAATGTAGTTATAGTTGCTTACACTAACCAGAAAGTAACTGGCTGCTTTGTGCACTCCGAGAAATTATGTAAATACTAAAGCAAATGATAAATATAGTAATCGTCGTACATAAATTTAGAGAAAACTTTGTGATTGCTTCTCATTGATGAATAATGACATAACTGTTTTGTAGGGCAACCTTAAGGCAAATATTTTTTCTTATAAGCAGCATGTAAAAACACTTAAAACGCTAACCGAAAAAAAAGCAAAAGAGCGAACGCTATATGTAGGACACACCAAAACGTAGTTAACAAACACGATTTAAGCCCATATAAAAGACCCCCTATAACCTCCAAAAATCGATGGCAAATGCTTAACCAAAAATATGATATACGAGTTATTGTATGTGTACGGGAAATTTGCTAAATGTTGTAAAAAGTATATTACTCGATTATAATGTAGCACTCTAAATGGAGTCTCTCCAATCATGTAGAAATCCTCATCCAGTAAAAGCACGCAACAAAGTTCCCTAATACTTTACACATAATTTGGTTTCCTTGACCCGCAAGCTAAATTAAACATGAAGTGTTTAACTGTATATATGTAATGTACTAACCACATTAACCGGATATACTAACTGAAACGAAACTAAGCCCGCAAACATAACTGTGTGGTGGAAAACGGGCCGGTAAGAATTGTAAATTACCAAATGCAATCCTTTCTCCAGGACAAAATGAAGCTGAGCTACCGAACTCTGCGTAATTTACATGGAAATCGTAAAGACACACTAACCATTGTATTAACTAAACTAAACCACACTAAATAAAACCGCATTAGACTTACTAAATATTATTATAACGTAACTGAAAAAGAAAGAAATATGGAAGACGAAACCGTAAACAAATGCTTTCAAACTAAATAAAGTTCTTTGGAATTACAATGCAAAAAAAAAAAAACCAAAAAGATACGAAAAAACACAAGTGTTATTTATTCTGGGTGGTGGTAATATCCCCTAGTTATATACCCCTAGTTTTCCCAAAAACAAGAATCTTGGACGGTTTTTGTGTCTGGCTTAAATCAAGCTTTCATATATTCAATATAGAAAGGAATTCAATCTTAATTCGTTTATGGCTCAACTTTTACAAAATTTACCCAACTCCAGGTGGGTAATATCAAATTTAAGTAAGCTTACGTGTCTAAATGGGGAGCTGCTTCAGCTCTTACAGTTGGCTTACAAATTAAATTGGTTCTGCTTCAGTCTTAGACAAAGTTACGAAATGCCTTTGATGTATATGTACGATTCTTTCGAAAATAATGGGTACTGCTCTTCACATGAATTGGGAATTAAACGGTGTGCCCAAGAAGTGACAACTAATCCTTGTTGCCATAAATACTGTAGCTCTTCTCCACGAAGATCTGGATGGAACGCTTCACGTTCTGTTTGTGTGGCTCGGGCAGCTGTTCCAACTTAGGAAGGATCTTCATCAGGAAGCGGAAGTCGGGCGATAGGTTTATGTTCGTCTCGATCTCCTCTGAATTCAGTGTCACCTCCGAGTGCTCGGACTTCAGGATCTTGGCATTCTGAATTGGTAGTGGCATCTGGATGGACGAAGGCACTGAACTTGGCGAGGACGGGATCTTTACAAAGTTAGTTGGGTTCTTTTTGGGCGGCAATGTGATATGTGGTCTGGGATTGTTAGCCACCGGCTTGGCTTTAGCCACCACTGGTGTTGGTTTGATCTGCTTCTGTTCTTTGTCCTGTATGCGATTCAATAACTCGGGCAGTAGTTTCTCCAAGTGCTGGGTGAGATTGGCCTGCGGCTTGTCGGCCATAATCATCAGTTTCTTGCCCGCCACATCCTTATCCTGCTCCACAACCACGAACATCTTACGCTTCTTGGGCTGTCCATTTGTCTCCAGAGTCTGGCCCTTGGTCTCATCCGATTTCTCCGTGATTACGTACAGTTTCCTCTTCTTGGCTTGACCATTCTCCAAGCGGTTGAGTCCGTTCTGGGAATCCTCCAGCGCTGACAGTGGTAACGAGGCTTCGTAGTCGGAGTTGATGGACTGTACATCGCTGGAGGCCGAGGAGCTGATGGAGTGGGAACGCTGTGGCATGGGCATGATGCTGGTGACGGGCTTCTTGGCCTGATGTCTATTGGGGCTCTGCAAGAGAAGGGGCTTGTTAAAATAAATTTGCATATGCTGAATCTTTATAATATTCAATCAAAAGAACGTCGTGTGGTATGCTAAGCTTTTAGAAGATCAGTATTTGTTTGAAGAACAAAGCTTTTTCAGAAAATTACATATGTTTTTAAGCATTTATTGTAAGGACTCGTTTGCATGTAAAGTTACATTAAAGTTACTTAAATAGCTCTTTTTTTAGAAGTCATATATAATGGTTTATGAATAATGAATATTACTTTCTGAAGTCTAAAGCATATTTTCTGTTCCAGCTGAATTTTAGCTTGGCTCAATTACCAACCCCTATGAAAGCTGAACTTTTGTGTTCCTTTGTGCTGCCACTCACCTCAACAAGTTCAATGGTGGTGCTGCCGGCCACCGCCGACTTGACAGCACCGCTCCCAGTTCCTGCACCTCCTCCTTCTCCGGCGACTCCTCCTCCTCCTCCGTTGACTCCTGCCATGGCTGACCCTCCTGCGCCATTAATGGGTAGCACGATGCCCTTGGAGGACGACGCCTTGCGCAGCGGCGTCATCTTGATGCGGGTTTTGGCCATCTCCTGGCGTTGGCTGAAGTGTCTCAAGCAGATGCGCAGCTTTTGGAGGCCGCCGAGTTGATCCACCAGTTTATCACTGACTCCAAAGTGACGCAGCCAATGATTGCAGCTGCACGTAAATAAGAAAAACAAGCAATAACGACTACTATTACTAACCACCGAAAGCTCAGTTTAGTACGCTTCTTTTTCTTTACGATGGGGGAAAAAGCTTGTCACTCAATTTCCCAAGCTATCGCCAAATGGAAATCATACCAATGATTGGTGGGGGAAAAAGAGACGACGAGCTAGTTGCGATCGGTTGCGCGGTTCTTTGTTTAATGATTAAACTGACAAAATGAAACTGCATTGGAGTTTCGTTCTGGTTCTTGCGACGCTTTCAAATTAGATCCGACTTTCGCTCTCCACTCTCTTTGCCTCTCTCTCTCTCTCGCTGGAAAAGTTCTTGAAAAAGTTTGCGCTGCATTTAAGCTCATTTTATGCTTCTTTGGCGAGTGCGAACGAGAGAGGTTGTGCTTTCGCACGCTCTTTCTCGCTCAGCGGAAGTTTCGCGTGGAATTGTTATTGTTTGTTGTTGTTGCAGTTGCCTTTGCTGCAGCTTCTGCTCAACTTCCCCCTATTTTTGTTGTTGCTGCCGTTTGTGGAAGATGGGGGAAAAGTCGAAATGCCGCTTATTTTCTTTTTCCTTTATGTTTATGGCTAGGCGATACAACAACAACAACTAGGGCCCTCAGGGTGGACCGAATTCGAATTTGTTGCGCAGGTCAGGAACAACAAAATCATTTGCCTAACCATATCTTTCTTAATCTGACTCGTAACCCAAGATCTAAAAACATTTCGATAGCATGACTATTTAGATGTAAAACCTTATAAAACCGTATCTTCAAAATGGTTTATGCTTAATTTATAGCACAGTATTACTAACATTATTGTCACAATATAATCATAATAGTCATAGTATCATAATTCACTTTAAAATTTCTTATCGTAAGCGTGCAACTTTTTAAACGGAACTCATTAACTACAGTAAGATAACAAGCTATTATAATAAAACTTAGCAAAAGTCCAGTACATTCCTTCAATTGATTTTCTTCTAAAAAAAAAGCTTTTTTTGATTTCGTTGATGACTTTTTTTGTCTCAAAGTACATTTGAAGATAATAATACCGCTGAAAGGTAAGAGATGAGCTTTACTTGATAATAAAACTAAACCTAAACTTTCTGGGGTTTCCAAAAATAAATAAGGGAAGAATACGCTTAACACTGGGCCACTCTAAACTCCATGGCCAATGCCAAGTAACTTTGGCAGACGGAGCACCAACTGCAGAAACTGGAGATGCAGAAGCGGCAAAGAAACACAAAATAACTTCACTTCACGGCCAGCAGAGCAGAGCCCCACGCGCATTTGTTGCACTTACAGGAGAGCGTGAGAGCTAAAAATAAATGGGAGTCGCAATCTGGGACCTATCCCCCGCCCACCCACTGCCCCGCCCACATCGGCATTATTGCATTTCTGATTCTTGGCCGCCATGGCATTGAAGTTTTCCTATGAAAACGATGCACTTCTATGCGAATCGAGAAGAGACAGAGAGAGAGGGAGAGGGAGAGAGTTCAATGACCCTTGACTGCGAGTATCGGAATCGGTATCAGACGAAGAAGAAGA